TATCCATTTATTCAGAATCATTTCATTCCGTCGACGATCATTAATACGATAATATCGTGTATTCGTGTAGAATCGCAAAGAAGAGATTGTGAAAAACGTAAAAATTATTTGAGATAGATATATATATATATATATATATATATAATAAGATATATAATAAGATATACTTACGATTTCTCGAAAAATGGACGAAGCATTGAAAACTTCAAAACGGTCACGTATTCTCAATGGGAAAGTTATCTCGATGAAACGATGGGAATCGCGATTACATCTTCTCGAAGCGAAGGCAATAGATTAAAACATCGTGCTTGTATATTATAGAAATTAATCAATTCGAACGTGGATCAATCAATTTGAAAGCGTGCGTGCAATTTCACGTTACACATCGGGCTGATCCCAGAAGAAAACTGAACGAAACTACGGAGAGCTACAACGAGAGACACCGTGTCAATTCGTGAGATAAGATAAGCACGGAGGATACATCCACAACGTCAGGGTATTTTCTGAAATTTTCTTATACGAGATGTTTATTACGCTCATTATATTCGAATTAAAACGATAATATATTTATTTTTCGAGATAGATATATGCGAGTCGGAATCTGAAAACTTCTCCTTTTCACGAGTCCAATTTCACTTTCATTTTGTAATATTTTGATATTCGGTAATTAAAGAGAGACAAAGAAAATTTCATTTCGTAATGATTTATGCAAATCTTTTTACTTTCGTCGATTCGAAAAAGTTTCTTTTCCGAAATCGAATCGTTTTCGCAAAGATTTTTCTTAGCTCTTCGAGAGAAATCTTTGCTCGATAGAATAGTATATCGTGGCAATATTTATAGAGTATCCGATGCAAGCACAATCCGATCTAGGAAATGATTAGAAACGGAAATGATTCGAAATGATTGGAAGAAAAAAATAGATGAGGAGATGGAACATTTTCAACGATGCGAATTTGAATCTGATTGCTCTCTACCATTTCGTGTGATGCTTTCTTCCCTTTCTATTTATCCCTATTTTCAAACGGTTCTATGAATCATCTTATTTGCCACTTGAGTTCCTGCCAATCTAGTGATGACGTCATCAAACGAAAATATTTCTGTAAAACTGCAATTCTACCAATTATTAAAAATTTTCACATTTCTTATGCATTTTATTTTTCTTATGAATTTTCTAGCTTCTAACTGTTCATATTTCTTATTGTCCAACATTTGTTCCGAAAATAATTAACGATTTCAATGTTCGACCGACTATTTTCTTTTTCCTGGTATTTTTCATAATAATTATATACCTGATACACCATTATACACCTGATGCACCATTATGCACCTGAAGTATTAAAGTATTATGGATTTAAGGTAATAAAGTAATAATATATAGATTTATTGTTGTTCAGGTAAAAAAAAAGTTTCGCAGTTCATGGAACAAGCACAACAATTTAGCTTAAAATTTACAGCTAAAAATATAACTCTATACCCAATTTCATCAATCCACACTTCTCATACTTATTAAATTGATCTTGTTGGAATTATTATCTGATGTTGCATGATCAGAAGATTTAACATTTGGCATTATTTGCTGATTTTTATTGAAATCAATTAACATTTCGATTCAATTGCAAAGATGAAATAGGAATGTTTCTTAAGGGAATAGAATTGTTTTAAAACTTACAGATATAACCGTGTATTTATAATCGTTTATACAAGACGTATATCCTCGTGATACCTAACAGATCGATTTTAGTGAATTTAATTTTAGTATAATAAACAGATAATAAAGTGCTTGAAGCGTGACTTCATTTTTTTTTTTATTACACTACACTCACGTATGTAATAATAATATAATTATAAATTACAAGAAAAAAATTTTTTTTTTTTTTTTTTTTTTCAATTTTTTCAACTCGAACGAGAGGAATCTTGTTGATCGAACGAAATCATATTATGACAATTACATTGCACAGCCATCGATTAATAAATAGAGTTTGTATAAATTTGAAATGAAAACAAGAAATCTCTATTTGAAATATAACGCAGGAAATGAAATCATTTATCATCTTAATTAATATAGGCGAAAAGAATGAACAAAAAAACACTTGGAAGTTCAACAATCATATTATATATTACTTGTCAAACTCGCATCAATATCGAATCAATATAATGTCTTATTGATATTTCCTTAAAGCTAGTAAAATGAATAGACGAGCCACGATCCATTCAACTGGATCGGCGAAGTGATAAAAGATAATTTCCGTAACCCTTAGAGGCAGGGCAACGAATAAAATTACAACGCTTTTAATGTATTGTTCAACAAATGCAAACCGTTACTCTCTGTGTGAGTCGACGTAATTATATGATACAGATTAAATGGGAGTCGAACGTCGAAAATCCGTCCAAAGTTTGCGATCAAAACGTACACCCGTTCATTTGTACAAAGTAGAATGTTGTATTTTATTTATCGGCAAGAATACTATCGCTAACAATATGCAGAAAAGAAAAGAAAAAAAAGAGAGACATTACATCGTGAGAAAATATATTTGATCGTAGTAGATAAAAGTTATGCTACTGAAAATTCTACATTTGCAAAGTGCGATACGTGTACAATAAATGAAACTATAGAGATCTCTACAAACGTGTAAGACTCTTTAGTAAGTAAAAAGCAAGAATCATTAATACTTTATAATCATTAATTAATAGTTTACATATTGATAACGCACCTAACGTAATTGGCAGTATTAATCTACTACTATATTATTGCTACTTTCGTCATATGTTTCGATTATCGTTACTAAAAATCGAATAAATCGCGACAGTATTCTTGTCAATGTGCATGACGATTTAACGCTAAAGGAAAAGGAAATTTGTACATCGTTTGTACAATAGTGTGACTCAATCTCGCCTGCGCCACGTAAACTTCGCCCTTTGACTAGACGCCTCCGCGGCAACTGGCATCGGGTGAGAATATGGACACGCTGGTTTGGTGCAGAATGGATGATACTTGCACTGTTGGGCAGGATGAGAGAATACGCATCCCAGTTTTGTGCAGGACAAACCAAATTTGCATTTGGGATGTTTGTAAGCACACTTGTCTCCAAACTTACACGCAGGGAATACACTATAATAGGGGGAATAGATAAGTAACAGTTAAAAAAGACTGACTAATGTGAACGATAGCGAATTAAAAAAAATTAAATAAGATAATAACCTGCACATAACGAGAGGATGAAGATACGCGCACTTATTTCCTAATGTACAATTTGGCCAGTATCTACATTTTTCTTTTGACTTATCTATCACCGTCACCGTATTCTCTGTTAGTGGTTTTTTATCTAAACCTGGATACAGAAAACAACGTTGTAATATTTATATTGTAGAATTTTTATAGGACGTTAATTATTAAAACTATATTATTTACGTTTTGTTAATAATGGGTTCGTTAATAATGTGCTAGACTTTAAATCCGTGGGACTTGGTGAATGGGATCTATTATAAATAATTGGACTTAATTTTCTCCTCTTTTTTGGTATCTCCTCGGTATTCTCTACGTTTTCCGTGTTACAATTTTCATTATTTTCTTCACATCTTTCTTTAACGCTTAAATCGCCATCGGTTTCCATTTCGGACACATGAAAAACAGAAGTTTCCGATTCATTCTGTGCGTATATGTCATTTTGAATTGTTGATAGTGCAAGCTCGTCATCTTCATTCACCTATAAACATATATTATTAAAATTAATATTAATCGATGCAAGTTCGTAAAAAGTTCGTTGTAAGGAGCAGAGTAAATGTATAATTTCTGTTAATAACTACCTCCATTTCCAGTCGTTCATCGTCGTCAGATGTATTTTTTTCTTTCATTAAATTATTATTATATCCATTAAGTGTAACTAAAAATTTTTGGTTATCGTCGCTCCTTTGGAACAAAGACATTACGACACCCATGTGTTCCTCGGTAACTGGTTGCGGTACATCTATAGACCGTACAATACTAAATATATTAGAGAAACAATTTTAAGTATTATATATATCTCCAAAAAAGAAGAAGAAGAATAAAAATATACTCACAAGGTTTTGATTTCGATTCTGAAACATCTGTGTTTAATTCTACTTGTATTTTTTCCATAACTAATCGCTTATTAGAATTCAGGTGTACTGATAAATTTTGACCTACATCTCGCACAGTAGCTGGTTTAAGATGTTTTAAAGTCTGCTTCTTCTCCTGTGAAAATTTTTTTATATAAAAAACATTTTTGAATTAAAAAACGAACCAAATCGAAATCTGTGACATTAATATTTATTACATTTTATACACACCAGTAAGGATGGCTCTGGATTCTTTTGCATAACAACAGACTGATTTGCCTCTGCAACTGCCCTTAATAAAAGTGATTGTGTAGCACGTTTTTGAGCCGGTTGCAAAGGTTTTAGTGGTCTTGGAGTTACAATTACTTTACTTAGTATTTTAGTTTCCTCAACTTCCTCTTCTGCATCGCTGCATTCTTTATTGCCTTTTTCCAATGGTTTCAATCGTTTTCTTTCAGTCTTATTCGATGCAGATTTATTTACAGCTATAATGTGGGATTTAATAGGTCCAGAAATACCCATAGATTGTGTGTCATCATCTAATTCCTCCTCTGCACCCAAATTAAGATAATCATCGTCCTCGCTACTTTGAGAACGTCTAATCGACGAATTAAAACCACTTTTAATATTTGGTGGTTTAAAATTATTTTTCAATGGTCCCAATCTCTCCTTTATATTTTTATTATTAGTCAGAATATCGCGATCTTGTTCTAAAGGCTTGCTTTTAAATTCTATAGATTCTTTATTTCCTAATAATTTGGACGATTTATTAGTATTCGCAATACCTAATCGATCTTTAATTGTACCCATCGATTTTTCTGTTGATTTCGATTTTAAATTAGAATTTGCTTTTTCTCTTAACTCTACATTTTTGGGAACTTTTGAATTACCCAATCGATTTTTAATACTATTAATTTTATCAGACTCGTTTATTTCACGATTTCTATTTGTACGATCTTCTACATCAAAAGTTCTCCCTCTTGGAAAATTGTTATTTCGATTATTGTCCAATCGATATTTTTCAGGGCGCTTCTCGTTTTGTCTATATCGACTTTCAATATCTATCTTTTCCCTGTGTACTTCAAATTTTTTTCTCGGCGATATCATACCCAAGCGATTTTTTACAGACACAACAGATGTAACTTTTGGCTTGTTAATACAAGATTTCAATTTTTTCGCATTATCTTCTGTCGTACTCTCTGCATCTTCCTGGATTTTTGATCTTTTTGTCTCATTCTGTTTTTTCTCAGAACCATCTCTATAACTATTTGTTGTATCCAATGGTCTTTTTAAATTTTTGGATAACGAATCATCGAGTTTTGTTTCAACATGAGAATCTTTAGTTTTATTATTGGAAGTTTCAAAAGGTGATAATTCTTTACTTGTATTTGCATTTTGACTCTCATTTCTTTTGGACACAGGTTGTTGAGAGATATTGTGATTCGATGTATTCTCATCTGATTTACTGTCATGATTAATATTTTTTATAGATTTATCTACAATTTTATTTTGACTTGTCTCCAATTTTTGACTAGATATTGTTGGTTTTATGGTTTGTTTATGGAATGATTTATCATCTTTCATATTTTTATTGGAAGACTTTTCAATAGTTTGATTAGCAGCTTGATCTTCCAAAAAAGAAGTTGTCGATGTCTTTCTCTTTTTCCTCTCTTCCTCTTGTTTTACAACAACTGTAGGTACAAACTCTCTCAATGATTTTTTCTTGGCTACAGTGACTTTCTGTAACTTTTTTAACACTTGGTCATGCAGCCAATCAACAAATGGTGTTGTGCAATTTTCCAGAAACAAATATAAATCTTCATGCATCTGTTGGCGAGATTTTTTATTTACAACCATTACTAAAATATAATCTGGTAGTTCTTCATCGTATCTTATTCCTAACTCCAACAATTTAGCACGAATAGCACTCTGAAAAAAAATGAGTAACAAATATTTATTATGAAATTTATGATATACATAAATTGTAATGTGCATTTTTATAATTTTAAATCATACCTAACGATTTATAAAAGTAAAATATAAAAGTAAAATATTTATCGTTCTCGATTCTTGCTTTTTTCGACTTTTATATCCATATAAGATATTACATACGATTAATTAAACGACATATCGAAAGTTACAATTTTATCACCTTCAAAAACTCAAATAATTATATTGCGTAAATTGTTAAAAATCGAACAATACTATCGTATAATTATAAATTATTAAATCGAAACTTACTAATAATTAATTTTATTTTCTGCATCAGAAATTATTGAACACAACTATACGATTAGAAGAGTGTAGGTACAGTCAAGTAAAAGTGTAAATGCTTCACTTACCCGCAATTGATTCGTAACTTCTATTCCGCGAATGTCCATGATGTTGATCACATTTAACGAGTGGAACGAGTGGAAAAAGAAAACTGTTGTCGAGTCACAAAATCGACGATATTATCACGATTATTAAGGAATAAAAACATTCTCCGCCATGAAGAATCAGAATGCTTCTTTCCATAGAACAGATATTCAATCTAAATAGGAAACTCTATAGTACGTTCCAAATAAATAAATTCAAGAAATTATTATTTGTTCTTAATCTTTTTATTGCTTAATTGATAATATAAATCCGATTTTCAACATATCATTTACGTATATTTATATATTATTTAGAATTAAAGTGATTATCATAGATTAAGGAATGAGTAGTTTACAATTTCATTTCTATTATGGCACATGTATACATGGCCGATAAAGCGCATCTATGTCTTATTCATTCCATGATATTATCTACCGGGAAAATATAAATTGAACTTATATTTGTACAGAAACCAATAATTATTTTATTAATTTGGCTAACTTCAATAGTATATTTTCTTTGAATTATTTTTTATTAAGTTCGAATAACAAGAAATATATAAATATCTTCTTATCATTTTCAAAGTGGAAAAAATATGTAAAGTTTTTGATATTGATTAATGAAACAAAAGCAATTCTATAACTAATATCCGTTATTGAAGATTAATCAAACAATTCAAACAACTTTGAAAAAAAAATCAAGATGTCAAGTATAAAGAATGTTTTCACCTTCTCTCATTTACATTTACTGTATGATCTTTTTGTTTTATCTATGAAGATAACTTTTGCCATGACTGTAGCTGCTTTTAAAATGGTTATACCTCCTCGAGCAAAAAATTTGATAGGAGAAACTGTGTTGGTAAATAAATAAATCATCCATAAATATAATTTCAATTTTCTATTTCTATCTTCTATGTAATTCTATTAGATAACTGGCGCTGGGCATGGAATTGGTCGTGAATTGGCTATTCAATTAGCTTCTTTGGGTTGTATAATTGTTTGTTGGGACATAGATACAGAAGCAAATCGATCGACTATAAGCATGGTGTCAAAAAATGGCGGAGAAGTAAGAAACGAAAGATTATTTTAAAATAATTTTAGAAAAGCAATAAAATATATAATCTCTGACAATGAGATGAAAATGAGATTGTATAAATGCAAAATATAGATATATCTATTAATTTTTATTCTTGCTTATCCTTAAAATTTTTCAAATATGCCAACAATCAGATATTAATTTTAATCCTTTCCAATTATTTTTACGATCTTAAAATATGTTATATATATACATAATATTTATCTACAAAATAGATCTTCAAAAAATCTTAATCGAAATAATAATAGCATGATGAAAGTGATCAGACCAAGATTATTTTTGAAATATTTTTATTTAATTTTGAATAAAAAATAATTAAAACACAATTTTAATAAAAAGGAATTATTTAGGCTTATGGTTTTGTGGTCGATGTATCGAAGAGATTAGAAGTCAGAGAGGCCGCAAGATTAATGAGAAAAGTAGGTGTGCCAGAAGTATCGATCCTGATTAATAATGCTGCTGTATTATATCATCGTCCTTTTCTGAATCAAGAATCGGATCTTATTGAGAAGACGTTTAATGTTAATGTTCTATCAAACTTTTGGGTGTGTTCGAATATCCATGTTCATTTGTCAAATATCAAGTTTAAAAATTCAAGAATTCTTACAGACAACATAATGTGAATGTGTTAAAGAAACACTCATTTGAATTATTAATTTTTCCTACAGACAATAGAAACCTTTTTACCAAGTATGATACAAAACGGAAAAGGACATATAGTTTGCGTATGCAGCATGTGTGGTATATACGGGGTGTCCCAAAAAGTAGCGTACTGTTCCTCGAAATTTGCAATGAGAGGTTGAGAGAAATTTTCAAATTAACAATCTTTGAATACTTTTTCATTCATAGATTGTTATTATAGAATTTAAAAATTAAAAATTTTAAAATTAATTATTTTCATCACATCAATTTTTATTTTAAGGAATATGAATTTAATAAATAAATCTTTAACAGGATTGATGGATGCTCTTCACGAGGAATTACGATTGGACCCCAAGTTTAATAATATAAGATTTACAACTATTTATCCATTTTACGTAGATACCGGATTAGCCAGGGATCCAAAATATAGGTAAAGTGCGAAGTTATTTTAAAAAATTACAAATTTTTCTATCAAAGTTCAATTTTATGTATAATTTTCTTTTAAATTAAATATCTTAATCTATTTTTTTAATTAATTAATGTTTTAGGTTCCCTTACATATTTGGTGTAATATCACCAGAATATGCAGCAAAAGAGATAATCAAAGCATTCAGAAGAAATTATACCGAATATTCCATTCCCAGGTGTCTTTTTACCTTAAATTCTATCAACAGGTATATTATTTTCTTCTTTCCTTCTCACCATATAATAAATAAATTCAAAACAATTTTAATTCTAAAGCAAAAGTAATAAATGCATGATTATTCCTTATAATAAAATTTTCTTTATAATCATAAAGTTTTAGTGTTGCATTTATGGCTTTCAGAATAGTCCCTGAAACTGTGATGAGGTTAATCCTTGACTTCCTTGCTGACGTGGATCGAAAACGTCAAGAAAAACTTGCAATTTGTGAAACTAATACATCTTAAAGAATAATGATCAATTGTATAAACTGATATTATCTGTTTTTAATTATATGTTCATATATTTGCATTTTATTATGGCGTTACGCAATTTAAAAACGTAAAACATAATAAATTCAAGATCGATGATTAAACATTGTTTTTCTTAGCAAAAGCCTTGATACAATATTTTATAGAATAATTTTTATTTACTTTACTCACTTTAATATTACTTTATTTACTTTTTTTAGAATTAGTTTAACCGTAATCTGAATTTTTTTCAAATAGAAACAAAAATGTATTAATTTTTCGTTTTGAACATGTTGACAAGTTTAGAATTTCTATTAATTATAATAATAAAAATCACAATTAATGACAGATACATAAATCTTACGTAAATAATAGTATAGGATTTCACGCAACATGCCATTGTCGATTTGTGATAATTCAATTACTCAGAAGATAAATTGATTAACTTCATCGAGGTTAATCATTTGGTATATAAAAAGTTAAATATCGATACTTGTTTTTGTCTATAAGACTATAAATTTCATTAAAAGATAATAAGTTTCTTAAAAATATAGAAATAGCAATAAATTAAAAAAAAAATTGAAGGAAACAGGAAATTAAAATAATAATATTTCAATCATCAAAGATTTTTTTCAAATTTATCATTTTTTACAATATCCAATTTTAATTAATGATGAATTTTTTAAGAAAAATAACTTATATCGCGTGTGAGAAAAGAAACAAAATCTAATTTATAAAGTTAACATTTATAAAGATATCTATTTTTTATCATCTGCATTTTCAGTTTTAAGAGCTTCTTCATTTATTAATTTTATTATAGGATTTGTCATAGGATTTATTATAATGTTCCTTTCTTCAAAATATGCATATTCAAATCAATTTAGGTTTAATTGCGCATTTGAATACAAATAACATTGCCAAGTTAGAAAAACTTTTTTTATATAATAGAAATAAATACAGAAATTTAATGAAAATCTATCTTATTACATAAATAGTAATTACTTTAGCAGAAAGTAATTAAAATGTTATTATATTTTAAGAAAAAACTTAATGAATCATCATCATCATCACATATATCTTTCTTTGTATGTGTATTTTAATTATATATGATATCTAAAAAAAAAAAAATACTGAATCATCTTTCTGATCGAAGTAAATCATTTTCCCGATTTTTATTCGTGATTTTTAAAATATTCATCTATACAGGTTTTTCAAAATTAATTTTAAGAACTAACTGTCAAAGTGTAACATCATTATTAATTTCTTTTTTTTTTTGTTTTACAATTACAATTACAATTTCGAAATTCATCTTTTGATTTCAAACAAATTACAATCATCAAGTTTAAATATCACGTATAGCATAAAATAAATTCTTTTGTTAAACACTTGCCCACGAATAATTTTTATTACAATTCATTTATTCTTGAATGTAGAAAAACGAGATGCAGATGAAAGGTCAAATATAAACGTGAGTAAAATCTAAATAATGTAAGTATAAAATTAATGATGTTGTTACCACCTATAGTTTATCCTGTTTCAAGAAGCCTACCTTCAGTCAAGTTCAAGCAGCAGTCGGATTCTGTTGAGTGGAGTTTGCACCGGTAGTTTCTAATATTTTAAAATTTCAAGTGTAATTTGCAATGTATTTTTTACAAAATAACATATACTCACGATGGCTTTTACAATTTTTATAATTAATTAATATTCATTGTCGTTTTCCATAATTGAAATTACACATTAATTACAGGTAATTGTTCTTTTTTCAAAGTGTGTGATTTATTCTTTAATAAGAATGCTCAGATTTCATCAAAAAGTGAATATTTCTTCTCGTTATTTTGATCATTTATCTCGAAATTATTAAAAAATTGTCTGATTTCTTTCTCATCCTTTGAAATTATTCACAACACACATGATAGTTTTCAAAACATTTTATTTAGATAGCTTTTCAAAGAATAATATAGAATACTAGTTTCGTCGAATATAGAAAATAATTGAAATAATGAATGAATGTGCGCAAAAGGATTAATATGTTTTAAAAATTATTAAAAAATATTGAATGTTAATCTTTTGAGTGTTTAACCAAAATGATAAATCATTTTCATTTAATCGAGATAACTATTTTTTAAGAATAATGATAAACACTTTTATACATTTTTCATTTTTCTAATTATTATAGATTCGTTTATTTCCACATTTACGTACAAGTTTACCTTGAAACAGGTCGAAGAATCAAGTTCATGACAAACATCTTAGAGACAGTGTTACATGACTATAAATTCAAGGTCACAAGGTTATTCACATTGGTTATCAACCTTTCTATACTATACAAAATATACACACGTATGGATTGAATCTTTTGTTCGTTTTCACATAAAAATATTATAAAGATTTAAAAATATCTTCCACCTGTTGAAAAAATTTATTGTATCGATCAAAATTTCTTCATTTTATTGTCTTTTTTTTTTCGTTTTCTTTTTTTTTAATCATTTCTTTTTTATTCTATTCTTTTTCTATTCTTTTTGTATTCTATTTTTTTTTGTTCTTTTTGTTTTTCTTTTTTTTTTTTTTTTTTTCCTTTTTATTTCTACTCATCGAATCGACTACGAATCATTGTTTGAATCATTGTTTGAATTTTACTTTTACTTTTACCTTAACTTACGCTAACTGGATATAATATTAGATATGGTTAAAAAAGAATTCGTAACGGGCCAACTATTTTATGAATAATGAAAAAATTCAATAGGCGTAACACGGAAGAAATTTAACCGGTTTCCATGTATACTAACTCAGTTTAATCGAATCGTGCCTTGTACGTATCATTATCGTTTAAACTTGCTTTCACGTAATGGATGTTGTGCAATATATACATTTTTTTTTCCTTTTTTGATACTTGTACAGGTGCTATATATTTCAATAAAAAAAAGAAAATGATAAATTGGAATCTATATAACCGTAAAGAAATTTAAATTTTTTTGGAATATTTCGTACGATATTTCTTGTTATAAATTATTCCTAAGAATATATATATATATAAAACGTATAGAAATTTTTTTTTTATCTTCAGTTTAAAATAAATTATTAGAAAATTATAATAAAAATTATAATATGCGAAGTATTGATAATAATGTTATAATTACAGTATTTATCAAAAAACTTTCAAGAAAGTGATGCTAATTAAATAAAAAGTTGAATAAAAAAAGGAATAGTAAAAAGAGTATTATTTAATCATTAAATAATATTTGTTATAAAATGACGAGTTATAAAAACCAGACATATCTTATTCGTTTTTATTCCTTATGTTATATATTCTGGAAAAATTATATACCCGTTGTGTACTTTTACGCCATAATTAATGGCCTGGTTTCGTTATAAAGTTATGTAGCAACCTGAAGAAAGAAAAGAAGAGTTTTAAACGAGTGAGTCGAGAAACTTTCTTTTTGTTTTTCGATCATATTCTTTTTCAATAGTATATTCTTTGTTTAAAATATATACCAACTTACTTTTTTTCATGACCGATATCTTTTCTTTAAATTTAAATTTTTCTTGTGCATTTATATGTTTCTTTAATAAAAAAAAAAAAAAAACAATTCGAATCTTTTAAAATAAATCTATCTTAAATTTTTTAGAAAACAAATTAAGAAAATTTTTAATAACATTTTCTGGCCAATCTACGAAAACAACATTCCATAAACTATATAATAGGTTAAAATAAAATTAAAATATCACGTTAAATTGCCAAGCCGTGCCTACAGAATCGGGCAGATAAAACGTTAGGAAAACGAAATGCAAGAATAAAATCGACACGGTGGTATTTAGGCGAGCCTTATAAATTCTTCAAGAGGGGATGAAAGGTTCATAAAGGCTTCGAATTTGTTGGGTGGCCAGTGGTGCTTCGATTTTCTTAACTTCAACTGTAAAATCGGTCGAATGTTGATAGTATTTCGAATTTTTAAACGAAACTGTTAAAATATTTAAATCAACAAGTGAAATTTTCTCGTTATGCAATATTGTATACCTTATTTTCGTCGAATGATTACTTTCGCAGAACACGAGACTTTCGTATAAGAGTTTATTTGTCGAATGCCTCGCGTCGAGTGCAATAATTTCTTTCATCGTTTTAATCTTTATTTTTATTTTTCTACAATTTTTTTTTTTTTTTTCTTAATATTTAACATTCTTCCGTTCATTCATTCAATTTTATATCTATTTTTATATCTCGTCGTTCTCATTTATTAACCTTATCGTTTTCTTCTTTCAGCGTACGATGTCTTCGATAAAGGATGATACGATAATTGTAAACTCGCAACTGAGACACTCTGTGTCCACTCTTTGGTTCTTCCTCACCTTCGAATTTTTAATTAGCACATTTCTAAGTATTTTCCTGGCCATTCTCACGTTCATAAAATCTTTATTGCCGAAACCACCGAGAGATTTAACAGGGGACATAATTTTGGTAAGAATATTCCCTCTTCGACTTCCGTTATTTTTTCCGTTATGTTTTTCTCGAAAATTCCTTACTTCGAATTAACTTTGATTGTGAATCAAATAATAAAACGATGGAAAAAAAAGAAAGAAAGAAAGAAAGAAATATATCGCTAGGATTAAAATAAAAGAAGAATCTAAACCATTTTTTAATATTCTTTTTTTCAGATTGTCGGCGTTTCTTCCTCATTAGGCGAGTCTTTGGCGAGTGAATTTTTAAAAAACGGGTGTTCCGTGATTTGTGTGGACAAAGATTCGAAAACGATCGAGGAAACCGTATCCAGATTGAAGGAACGACATTTGATCGTGGAGGCGAGGCAGAGGAGGGACGATTTGTCGAGATGTGGATCGATGATATTCACATACGAGTGTGATTTCTTGGATAAAGATGCGATTAGAGGGACGGTTCAAAAAGTGAAAAAAGATATTGGAAGGATCGACGTTCTGATTACTTGTATCAACGAATCGAACGAGAATATCTTCGACGCGAGCAACAAGACATTAATGGCTCATTTCTGGGTATACGTCATTATTATTATTATTATTTCAAAATTATTCTTCCATCATCTTTTCGGATCGTGTATACGATATATACGTGTTTTTATACATGTGTGTTTTTTGTATCCCCGCACAGACAGTTTTGACATTCCTTCCAATGATGTTGTATCAAAAACGAGGTCATATAATTGGTGTTACTCCGATCGCATTGAACAACGACGCTTATCATAGCTCGAGAACGGCTATAATGTGTCAGTAATATTCGAATAATAATCTTTCATCAGTTACAAATAATAAACTATAAATATATTTTTTATCTATCTATACAGTGTTTTATATATTAATTTATCAATGTTTGAAATGGCCGATGCAGATTTTATAGAAAGTATGCGTCAAGAATTGTGCGAGCACAGCAGCTATTTAACATTTTTGGCATATTCTCCGATTGCAAAATCCAGGTAATGATATGTGGGGGTTATAATTTTTTTTAGAGAATCTTTCATCCGTTTCATACGGCATAGATAAATTTTCTCATCATGATTTATTTTCTGATCGTTTAAAGCTCGTTGAAGCAAAGCGAAGAAGAAGTAAGCAAGAACATAGTGAGAGCGGTGAAGACTGATCAGTATAATGTGAGCTGGACGTTCAAACTACTCTATCAAATAGGGTATTGGATAATTTATTTTATTTCTTAGAAATCATGTAATAAAGAAATATTAAGATCGATATAAAGTTTGAGATAATTCAATTATATGGAACAAATTTTTATTATTTTATATACAACAAAAATTAATTATCTTATTAATTCATTTTTTTTTTTCTCAGTTGCATAATCTACAATGGAATAACGTTGCTCACAAACTGGATCGACTTTAACAGATGCGATTATTCCACGTGAAAAAACGAGTTTTCCCTCATCCTTCTCGATTAGTAGAATCAAAGATTGATCTATGAAGATGGTCTATGAACGACGATATAAAACACATCCTAAAAAAATTCACTTAAAAATTTGTTTCACTTCGACGAAAAAATAGCTAAAGTATGTATTCCGTGCGAAACAAAATTTTATTCCATAACTGTTCATATGTTCTTATTTTAAATATAATTTAAAAGTCGACACAAAAAAAGGACGAAAAGTTTAAAGAGTCATCATTAACATAATTACAAGATATGCAAATCTCGATACGAAAATATATATAAATTGTATCTATTAAAAAGAGAAGAATAACGTGTTTCTAGATTGAATCTTCAATTCTTTTTTTTTTCTTTTTTTTTTTTTCTTGCTCGAAAAACATTCGTCAATCGGGAACCAGCACGTCATAATGACCGCTGTCCGAGTTTCCAGTGAATAAAAGCCTAGCTGTCTCGAAGTGAGAGCTAACGTGATTGTAAAACACTCGTTTAAGCTCATGCCTGTCGTTTATCTCGCGATAAATCGACAGATTCATGTCGTATAACTTGGTGGCCACCGTGCATTCGAGTTCACTGGCAAATGTGCCCACCATGCTCATGTAATTGTCATAAGTTTGTCTATCCGATATGTTCCATTCAGCTATCACGAAAGGCCCGTACTCGTGCCAATTTTCCTTGATGTGTTGCACCACCTATCGTACAGAATTTCTATCAATTTCTAATAAATAAGAAGAAGTAAAGAGAAATGGATGGAGAATTTGAAGAATTTGAAGAGAGTTTAATTTTGAATTAGAAATTTTATTATTAGAATTCGGAAATGTCAATGATAGAATATAATCGAAATGATTGAAAGGCACTTATGATTTAATTAATTAATAAGAATAATTGTTTCGAAGAACGATTAATCGATAGAATTAATTTTAACACGGTATAGAAGGGAATAAATGGTACCATTGAACGCAGGTATCGGTGTTCATCCTCGTTTCGCCATAAAATGTAGCTAATCGCTCGAAACATACAATTTCCATCGCCATAAATGTTATGCACGCGAAACGTGCCTTCAGTGCACCTTAAACGAGCCGTACCTGTGATAACAATAATAATAATAAAAATTTGCGTTGTTATTTGTTTAAAATTTTCTCAGAATTTTTATTAAATGAAATGAGATAAAAAAAAAAAAAAAAAAAAGGAAAAGAAAGAAATTCATAAGTATAAAATGTGTATTGTATATGTCAAAATATGTACCTCTTTTAAAAAAAATAGAACGCCTATTTTTATCTCTTTTAACACGTCTACGTGAACAAAATTGTTCACAGGGTATCCAATCAGTTTGTTGAACACCGGAAACGTGGATGTAGAAGTCTCCGCGGTCCAGATGCAATTCGTTTCTGAATCGATTGTACTTTTTCGCATTCTTGGGCAGCGACGAGCGACGTACACATTTATCTATCAATATATACAAAATGATGAATACTTTTATAAATAATATTTTTAAAAAAATATATTTAATAAAATAAATAAAGTTCATTCGTTCTCTTTTTAAATTTCTTTGTGTAAAATTTCGACAAGTGCTTTAGATAGATAGCTTTTTCCAATTTTATTTTCTTCTTTTTACCTTCTTCAAAGATGTGGTTACAGAATATGAAGCACCAGAGACAAGGTAGGAAAAATGCTTTTAAAAATTTTAATATATGGACTTTAGTAATGTCCAGCTTAGATTTTCTTCAATACCAAGAAAATTTGCCAGCCTAATCAATTGCTGCATTTTTTTTATTAATATTCAAGCTTAAAAAGAGAAGGGGCTCAAAAATAGTTCTATATGTGTAAGTATATCTTTCCTTTCTTTTCCTTTTCTTTTTTTTCAAATTAATTTTATGTTTATTCGCGTGTGAATAAGTTATACAAGCATAATTTCGCTAATTGACGTTGTCATTTTGAAAAGTTTGATCTGAAATTTGACATTCTAATGTCTTTTTTTTTTTTTATTTCACGATGCTTGTATGTGATTGACTGAAAAATCAAATTTTCGATATGAATCACGGAATTTCATTAATATTTTTATATTTCTTTTTTTTTTTAATCTTATTTCTTTCTCTTTTTTTTCCAAAAAATTCCTTTTTCCTAATTCTCCCAACTTCTATAAGTTTCTCGTTTTGAAATATCTGCGTATATATTTTTTTACGATACTTCTCAATTATTTTTGAAAATTATAGAATTCCATATAATATTTTCTCCTTAATTATGTAAACTGTTAATGGAATACATTTCACTCATTACTAAAATGAAGATTGAAAAATTTCGCGAAATAACGTCATCTCCCGGATGAATACTAGAAGCTACTATTAGCAATACAGAATATATAAAAAGATATTTGTGACAAAGTAGAATAAGAATTAAAGATGACTGCCATCTTTTAAATGCTAAAAATATTTTTAGCATGTATAAACATTTAATTAATGGCGGTATCTTTTTGAAGGATGTTCAAACTTGAAGTGATATCCAAAAGATGTCACTAATAATCAATTCATATCCTAACTTTGCCCTTTTGCACTATTTTCTCTTCTTGTCTATATAATTTTATTTGCAGCATTCTAGAGATGCTGCTGATTTCATTATTCATTATCTTTCCATTCTTTCCATCGTTTTTCCACTATTTATTTTCCTTCTCTGATATGTTAATTGAATACATACAGGAAAATTATAAGAAATATTTATTCAATTAATTATTCAATATTAATTATATAAATATATAATTATTTCATTTTACAATATGAGTATATATATTTTATATATTAAAATTAGTCTTATTAAATTTGTGCAGAAAAAAACTAACATTTAACATAATGCATTTTGAAGCTTTTAATATTATTCTATTCATATAATGTCATTCTCCGACTTTACCGATTCGGTTCAGTATAAAACCTTTTGTCTACGAGGCGTCGCGGCAGTCGCATATCGTAGATATCTATTGTCAAATAAAAATAGTTTAGTACATCATAATACAACGTTGTGACGAAGTGTATATGTATGTTCTTTAAATGCTTTATAAGTTTACAAATTAAATTTTTGCTATGTCAAAAGCAAAAGTATCTGCAGAATGGAAAAAACGAGTGAAATCAGAATATATGCGTTTACGACAAATGAAACGTTACAAACGAGCAGATGAGGTAAAAGTAGCTTGGAATCAAAATCGTAAGGTTATGTCTGGTTAGTATTCTTTTTCTTTTATTATCTTACAGGGGCAAAGTCTTTAACTTTCCTTATTTTTCAGAACTTTTAATGTCTGAACAAAAAAGATGGGCAGATGGAAAAGCAATGTGGCTTGCAATGCAAGACATACCACCGCATGTATCTTGTATGAAAAAGGCTGAAGTAACTAGTTCTGATAATGAGATACAAACCTGTCCTGTTAAAATTATTAATGCAGTTACTCCTATACCAACCATGTATACTTGGGCACCAATACAACAAAACTTTATGGTTGAAGATGAAACTGTGTTGCATAATATACCTTATATGGGAGATGAAATTTTAGATCAAGATGGTACATTTATCGAAGAATTGATAAAAAATTATGATGGAAAAGTATGTATAAAAATAAGAATAAAAATTAATTTTATTAGAATGAAATATAAAACTTGACGCTTATGAGAAATTTTGATCAATTAATTATAGGTACATGGAGACAGAGAATCAGGTTTCATGGATGATTCAATTTTTGTGGATCTAGTAAATGCTTTGATGCAATATGAAAAAGAAGATAAAGATAAAGAACAAATTAAAAAGGGAAAAGATAAAGAAGATGATAGAATTAAAATAGAAGCTAAAACTGAAAAATTATTAGAAGAAGTTAAAACTGATAAAAATCCATTTCCATCTATGCACATATTTAATGTAAATAAAACATGTAAAAATATATCTTATTATTTGTATTATTTGTATAATTGTATTATTATATTAATTCTTTAGGCAATATCAAGTATGTTTCCAGACAAAGGTAGACCAGAAGAATTGAAGGAGAAATATATAGAATTAACAGAAAAATCAGATCCAAATATTTTACCACCAGAATGTACACCAAATATTGATGGAGTAAATGCAAAAAGTGTAGCTAGAGAACAAACAATGCATTCTTTTCATACATTATTTTGCAGAAGATGTTTTAAGTACGACTGTTTTCTCCATCGTGAGTATAAGAATAACACACAAAAGCTTTACTTCTCTCTCTGTCTCTCTCTCTC